AGACACACAAATTAAATGCTTAAGCATTTTACAGAGAGATCTCTGTTTCCTCCTTAACCAAGGCAGTAGAATCTATAACAGAAAATAGCAAACTAACATATGACCTCTTTCTATAGTCATGGAAAACTATAGTTTTCCTTTGTGACTTGTTATAGAATTCCTCTCCCCCACCTCATTTCCTGCTTCTTCTCAGCCCCATCCACTCATACACACCCCAGTCTGAATAATAATGGGGAAATTTAGGCAGGTGTTCACTTGACAATGTCTCCACTTGCATGATTACCTACAATGTAAGACAAGCACTTTTATTTCATTTGGTTTACCTCATTCATTATGAGATCGAAAGGGTAATACTCAGAGGAGTGTTTCCTCCTCCACTAAAAATATGGATTTCTGTGTGGGGATGTGGACACAAAGGTCACAACAAAACAAGAAGACATTTCCAATTCCATGCCAAATTTATAAAAGAAACTCACCAAGCCTTGTTGAATTAAACCTCTTCCTTCCTTGCTCAAATTGGTAAAATCCAAAAGGTTAGAAGGAGCCCAAGGCAAGGAGACTTTTCTTCTACAAATCCCATGGGCTTTACTGCAAATACCTAAAGTATGATGAGGGAAGGGGTGAGCTATGTGAAGGATATATAAGAAAAATGACATAAAGCCATCAAACCAAACTGGAAAATATATTCTCCCTGTTTTCAGATTTCCCCTGTCAGTTCTAGTTCTGAACTAAGAGTCATCACAATTTGAAGAATTAACTCAAAAACAAAAGCAGAAGATTGGCCAAGGCCACTTGGTAAATCACCACACAAGTAGTTGAATTGCCGAAGTTTCTTTTGCCCTTATTGAACTGAAATCAGTGAGGTCTTAGAAAGCAGCAATAATTGAGGAAATGGCATAAAGAATACGTGTAGCGACAGATAGTAGCTGCTTTATAACCACATTTATAAACAGAAGATATACATATGTCATGTGCGAATAGAGAGGTACCAATGAAAGAGACTTTGAAATGCCTCATCACAGCCTAGTACCTGGCTGGTACAGATGGATACCCCGGTAGTCAAACATTGATGGTCCTAAGATGAACACAGTATTTGAAGCAATTTTGCATAGTAATGCCTTTAAGTTTACAGAACATAGACAATCAATCATTTATAATACGTGTTTTAAATATTTATTATGAAACGTTTAATGAGATAACTAGAGAGATAACTAGATTTAGGTCACTGCTTAGTAGAAAAGGGTGCAGCCAACACCAGGAAGGGCCTGAGACTCCAGAAGACAGTCTCCCAGGCAATATGCCTCGCTCGATCACTTTGAGTATATATCTGCTCATTTGCTTCACTTCACTCCCATTCACTTTGCACAGTAGGAAGAAGAAACATTAAAGGCTGGAGAAGGGATTGTATCCAATACCCATGGGTTCTGCCAAGACCCGTTCAAGCAAAGGCAATGGCAAAGACAGTCCTTACTTTAGCTTGCTTCTTTGTCTACTTGCTAAATCTGGTTTGTTTACTCCTCATGCCATCTAGTGTGTCTCTGATAGTTCCTTTGAGTTTCTTAGGACGACATTCATTCTACTCCTTTGCTGAGTAGCAATACCTTCCTTCCCCAAACAAACCATCTCTTCAGATGAAAGACTGTGAAGTACGCTGAGGGCATCACCAAACCTCCAGGCTCTATCATCATCCTCTTTCATCCATTTAGAAAGCTAGTGACAGGACTCTAAGCACAAGTAACTGGCATCAAAAATTCAGGTCACTTCAGAGGAAGGATCTACAGATGTAATAAAAAAATTAAATATCAGTGCCCCCATAAAATGCCAATGGAGAGATCTTTATAATATTTGCTTTGTTTGAATTAATTGACAGGTCATATTGCAGGTATTAACCACATATCATTTGATATTTTGATATGCATATGCACTGTAGAATGGAAAAATTAATGTGTCCTCCTGTCGCTTCTCCTTTCATGATAAATGCTAATCAAATTTTGTTTTGCAAACACCTCATTCCAAGGGAGGAAATGATTTTTTAACTGAAATAAACTATGCATTCTAAGTAGCTGGTGAGCAAAATAAGTTTAAAGAAAATGCTAAGAGTGTAATGAGTCAGGAAACTGCCTTAAGGTCCTCTCTCTAGATTGTGACTAATGTCATAAGGTATGCCTTTGAATCATAGGCCTATCATCAATAGCTTATCTTAAAAAAAATCATTTTCTGCCTTGGGAAAAATCTTTCCATTTATCAAAACATCAAAACTGTTTCAATTTCTTGAACATCAAAGTGAGTGGTTTTAAAAGCTTAGAATAGTTATTATAATTTGATTTCCATAACATTTGCTTCCGTTAAAATTATCTACTTTGTCAGGTATGTGGTCTTTACTGAATCACACTGACTTATCTCAAGTTAACCAGCTGTCTCTACCCTCCCATATTAAAATCTTTTCAGGAAGTGATGGTTCTAAAACAACTCAGGGTAGCCTTGTATCTGAAATCCCCCAGTTATTCTGCAAGTTCTGCAGCATGAACCAGGTGTCTGAAGTAGAACTCAGGAAACGGTCTCAGCTGTTTGGTCCTGGTGATGTCTGTGAAATCATCTAAAGTTTCAGTTTCCTACTGTTCATGGAGACTAAAACAGTCTTGGAACATTGAATTAAGGCCCTCTACCACAGGTTCTATAATACCATATCCCACAGAAATCAACTGTTTGGGGCTGAATGAGTTAGATTTTTAACCTCACCTGACAGAAAACCCCTAAGCACAAACTGAAATTCAAAAGGAGCTTACTATCTCCCGTAAAAAAAAAAAAAAAAAAAAAAAAAAAAAAAAAAAAAAAAAAAAAGTTCAAGGAAGCCCTTTTTCAAAGATTGCATTCTCTTGTGTTCATTAAAATCCTCAGATGGGGCCTTTGAACACCATTTTCAAATGAATTTTCCCAACAACTATTGACTATAAAATCTCTCAGGTTTGATTCCCTGATTTTTTAAGCCTCCCCTAGTGGGAGGAAAAATTCTAGGTATTGAATTAGCTCATTTCACATATTTGAGGAAAAATAACCTAGGCTGGATAAGATATAAAAGAAGGAGGTTTATACAGATCATAACGTTAGAAGCCAAAATTCTAAATAACATGGCACCAGCTCTGATGAGAGCCCTTCATTGTATCATATCACAGCCGATGTCATGACAGGCATTCATGTTAGAGGAAGGTATGGCATGGCCAGAGGAAGCCCAGAAAGATGCTGGGCAGGGGTCATTCCTGCCCTTTTATAACATTCCTCTCTTAAGTACCAACCAGGGATAGAATTACTAGGTCAATTCATTTTGAGAACAAAACCTGAACAAACAGCCTAAAGATCTCCTGCTACTCTTGTCTCTTAAAAGACTCCTCACTATTAAATGTCATCACAATGGAGGCCAAACTGAATATGTGAACCATGTGAAAAAAAAAAATCTAACCATCATGGTTCCACTGAAACCTGAGGCCATCTCTATTTCCTATGAGCCCCATTTTTTAATGTCTTCATGCCCTGAACTAACAACACAGCTCACAGATAGAGAATGGGAAGGAGTCTTTCTCCAGAGTAAAGCTGGGATGATATTAATGAATCTGACTACATAAATACTAAATGGGAAAAACAATCGGTGGTAACTATGTACAGGATGTGTTCTACCATCAATCTAGTTTATTATTATAAATGCTTCTGTGTAGCATTCCGACCTCATCATTCAGCTGTCTGTAGGCTTGAAAGACAAACAACACTCCTAGCTATTTAGTCAGGAGGGGAAAACACATGTTGTTTTTACTTGGATGTTCATAGTACATTAATATACTATAGCTGAAAGCTGTTTATGCCCATCACTTCCTGTTGATAAATGATTGAAGAAGTTGGGGTATAGTCATGCAATGAAAGACTCCTTAGCAATATGACATGGGTTTTTATGCATGCAACCAAACACTGGTTTTGCTGACAGCGATTTCACAGATATATGTATGTTAAAACTTACCAAATTTGCACATACTATGTACACTGTCTTCCATGTCAATAACAATTCAATAAAGATCTTAAACATAAAGCAAAAATCTTAAATTTCTATCACCACTACATGAGGGCTTATTCATTACAACATAACACTTCCCCCTACTCCCTGGCCTCTGTATTACTCCCACCCACATCCTCACTGCCATTTCCTGGTAGAATTTCATGCTTTGGCATGCCAAATATGTTCACTGCACCATTTCAACTCTACCCCTTGGCTGGAGTTCTTCTAGAATGGAGTTCTTCTAGAATGGTCTACTCATGCCATCATGTTCTAACCTGAGCATTAAGAGAAAATGTGTGCTTCTGGAATGCCTTCTACCTTACCAGTCCCTCACCTGTTCCATTCAGTACCAATGATCATTTCAGTGCTCCATAGCAGCCAGTATATGGATGTGCATCTATGTGCATGTAGAGAAACACATATCCTTACACTATAATAGCGTTCAATAATTTACAATCTACTCATACATCTAAACATTCTCTTATATGTTTAGAATCATAACCCTCTCTCTGGTAGTTCCCCATGACAATTGCACCAGTCACAGTGATTGCCACATTTTAAAAAACAAGGAAACAAGCTAATTGTGGCACTGCACACTTACGATCCCAGAACTTGGGAGTTATAAGTAGGAAGATCATGAGTTCAAGACTAGCCACTCTGTTATAGCAGGTTCAAGGCCAGTCTGAGATAGATGGGACTGTCTCGAGTAAATAAACAATAGCAAAAATTGCCATGTTTTCTATTGTGATAACTATTTTATAGGAAGGAAAAAATTTAATTATGGAAATTACTATTTATCTCATGGGCAACAGTTGTAAACAATTGACTACTAACTTTGAAAGAGTCCTGGGTCTACTCTCAGGATCTTCCATTAACCACTGATGTTTTCTTCAGGGGATGACACCCGTCTTTCAGGTAGTGTTTCTAATAATCCCTCCACTATTCACCTGTTTCCTAGATACACCAAGATGAAGACAGCCACCAACATCTACATTTTCAATCTTGCCCTGGCAGATGCCTTAGCGACCAGTACACTGCCCTTTCAGAGTGTCAACTACCTGATGGGGACGTGGCCCTTCGGAACCATCCTCTGCAAGATTGTGATCTCAATAGATTACTACAACATGTTCACCAGCATCTTTACCCTCTGCACCATGAGCGTGGACCGCTACATTGCTGTCTGCCACCCAGTCAAGGCCCTGGATTTCCGTACCCCCAGAAATGCCAAAATTGTCAATGTCTGCAACTGGATCATCTCTTCTGCCATTGGTCTGCCTGTAATGTTCATGGCAACCACAAAATACAGACATGGTAAGGGTGAACATGGGCCTGAGTCAGGGATGGGGGTATTTATAGTCTGATATATTGGTCATGTCCTGAGCCAAGCAGAATTCATGGTACAGTACCTTTGTCAAACTGTACACTGAATTAGGAAATTAATTAGTTAATTAAGAAATAAGAAAATGCCTTTAAATATACTGAAACAGGAAGATTTCTCTATAATTACAAACCTTCTGGGTATTTTAATAAGAACAAAGTCTACGCATTGCTGAACTTCATCAAAATACCGAATAAATCGGAATATAGCTTCTCTAAAAGTAGCTAAAGCTGAAGCCCAAAGACTGCATCACTGAGGCTTGCTCTAAATTTTCAAGTAGTTGACTACTGAACAAATTTACCCATCCTGACTTAACAGCAGCTTCCATCCTGACATGGAGGGGAAACATCCATTAGCAGTAAATTCCTGGGCATCTTGGATAATGGTTATAGCTTTTATAACAGCATAAACCCCACAAGTGTCTGATTCATTGTGAAATGCACATAACTTCTCACTTCATAAAATCTTAATGTGATCCAAGTGGGCCGAAAAACGGGAAATGTAGGAAGGGGGGAAAGGAAGTAAATTCTCTGTAACCAGTTGATGAGTTTCTTCTTTAATTTCTTTCATTCTTTCCTTGCTGGTCTGTATAAGCAACAACCTTCACTTAGCTCAGGTCAAAGGCAACTCCAGTACCTAGTAGCATAACAAAATGTCACTGCTAATTTTTCTTGAAAATTCTTTTTCTTCCAGGGTCCATAGATTGCACCCTCACGTTCTCACACCCCACCTGGTACTGGGAGAACCTGCTCAAAATCTGTGTCTTCATCTTCGCCTTCATCATGCCGGTCCTCATCATCACCGTGTGTTATGGACTGATGATCCTGCGACTCAAGAGTGTCCGCATGCTGTCGGGCTCCAAAGAAAAGGACAGGAACCTGCGCAGGATTACAAGGATGGTGCTGGTGGTCGTGGCTGTGTTTATCGTCTGCTGGACCCCCATCCACATCTACGTCATCATCAAAGCCCTGATCACGATCCCAGAAACCACCTTTCAGACGGTTTCCTGGCACTTCTGCATTGCCTTGGGTTACACCAACAGCTGCCTGAACCCAGTTCTGTATGCGTTCCTCGATGAAAACTTCAAACGATGCTTCAGAGAATTCTGCATCCCGACCCCCTCCACGATTGAACAGCAGAACTCCACTCGAATCCGTCAGAACACTAGAGACCACCCCTCCACGGCTAATACAGTGGACCGAACTAACCATCAGGTACTTGCTTTCTATAACTACGCGTAGTTCATAAAATATAATGTACCTGGTACCCGTACAAGATTTAAATCCTTTAGGAGATCAGTTACTGGGGAAGTGAGGCCACGCCAACGAGTAGAGGGAGGAGGGGACCAAATTCTCCTCGTGTTGTCTGAAAGATGTGTCACATAAACGTGCTCGATAAATTTGTATATGTTCATTTAGGTATAAAGATAGGATGACTGACAATATATCAAGTTGCTAAAAGTTACTGTCCTCATAGCCTTGGCTGCTTTCCAAAATTAATGGTTTTAGTACATAGTGGATATAATCCTACTGTGGAGTCCTTGTCTCACACAGAAACTTTCTGCATCCCAACAATATCACCCTAATGTCTCTGCCACTTAAAAGTGAACTCAACTCCAATTCTGTGGTTAAAGAGCCTGGTCTGCTGTGGTCATAGGAACAAAAGATTCCCAAAAAATCAGTGTCATGGCAAAAGAAAAAAGACAAAAACAATAAAGTATAGCCATCTCTATGTTTGTTAAGGCTTTGGTTTATAGAGTCTGGTGTCTGAACACTAGAGCAAATGCCAGCATGTTACCTAACTACTATGTTAAAATCAATTTTAAACACTCTGTGCTATTTGGAAATGACTTAAGAGTGATTAGATGTTTGGACCTATGTTCCTATGTCCAGGAGAGACACAGGAATATCCAGGATTTATTGATGATATTGTAACCATACAAGAAGTAATCAAGGAGGGTTGGGGAATCCTAATCCTATCTCCAATACTCTCAAAACTTCCTAAATATTCACCACTTTGCAATAATTTGACATCTAAACTAAAATAGCAGTATACATATGACTTAATTATTAATAAAATTTAAATAAATAAGTATTCCCACACCTAAAAATTGGCATATATAATTTTATAATACAGAGTTGGAATTCAAGCCTTGTCTCACACAGAAACACGTGAAGTAAACACGTGGGTCCAAACTTTGGGTCAAGTTCCTATTCTCAAGGAGCGGGGCTATGAGGACAGCAGCTTCACACACAAAGACTACAGAGGCCAGCAGAGCAGCAGCCAGAGGAAGGTCTTAGCCACCACAGTGGTAGCCACTCCCACTTGCTGACTCTGCATCATGCCCATCTGTAACAATAAGTCTTTCCACCAACTGCCTGAGTTCCTCTGCAACTTTAGGGCCCCCAAACAACACACAGAGTCTTATTTTAGTTACAATGCTTCTGGACAATGACTAGGATTTCTTGTATGATAGCTCAGTCTTAATTATCAACAAATTGACCTCAAAGTTGTATCAATAAATGAAAATCCATACCAATGCAAAGTATTCATTCCTATATCCTATTCCCCATTTTGCCCTTTAAAAAGAGATTGACTGTGATCATTACCATTTATAACCAACCCCATTTAAATGAAACCAAACATTTATAAATAATATTTGGGAATTTGGTCATTGTTCATTCCAAATTTCTTCCTGCTTTTTGGGGGTGACGCCCATACCATGGGATTATAATAAAACACAGAAACCTGGCCAGATCCTTGTTTTTGTAGTCTGTAGGGCTGTTTTAGTTGTTGGATCACCTGGGACACTGTTTCAGGGGGGTCTTGCTTCATCAAACCATATTAGTCTGGAAGGAATCCATAGTGTTACATTTTCTGTGAACATAAGCAAAAACTCTTTTCCCAAGTAACCTGTCCTTATACTTAAATTTAGAAGTCAAAGCACATTTAAAATATATAAGTTGTATAAATTTAGTAGCACCTATAATCAAATGTCTTTTGGCAGCTGTGGTTCTTTCTTTGGCAATGAAACAATTTAAAGACAACAATATAGCATATAGTATCCAGATTCTGTGAGTATTTTCCATCTTTACCTGGCTTTTTATTATTCTATTTCTTTTACTTTCTTTTTTCTGAGAAAGGGTTTCTATGTGGAAATCTGCCTGCCTCTGCTTCTGGAGTGCTAGGATTAAAGGCATGTGCCACCACTGCCCGGCTACTCTCTTTCTTTAAATTACTTTGTCCTGTTTCTTTTCTCTCACAAGCCTACATATATTTTTAAACACATTTAAAATATATAAGTTGTATAAATTTAGTAGCACCTATAATCAAATGTCTTTTGGCAGCTGTGGTTCTTTCTTTGGCAATGAAACAATTTAAAGACAACAATATAGCATATAGTATCCAGATTCTGTGAGTATTTTCCATCTTTACCTGGCTTTTTATTATTCTATTTCTTTTACTTTCTTTTTTCTGAGAAAGGGTTTCTATGTGGAAATCTGCCTGCCTCTGCTTCTGGAGTGCTAGGATTAAAGGCATGTGCCACCACTGCCCGGCTACTCTCTTTCTTTAAATTACTTTGTCCTGTTTCTTTTCTCTCACAAGCCTACATATATTTTTAAACACATTGTAAACCTTTAGAGGTTTTACTTTTTCCCTCTGAATCTGTCTTTACTGTATATCTTTATCTTTTTCTGACCATGAGCCTTTTATCTCCTAAAAAAACATTGCTAAAACTAAAGCCATGGCTGTGTTCACTGCCTCAGTCTATGTTGCCATCAGGGAGCATGCTGCTGACTTGGAGATGTGGTCACTGCCACTGCCATCTGCTCATACACACCATTCAATTGTTAGCAGGGCCTCTTAAAAGAACCCTTCAGTTTTTTCTGCTTATACTAAGTCAAGAAGCCTCCCTTAAGGGAGCTGCTCAAGTCTCTACTTGTCTCTAGCAAAACAGAGATCACCTATGAAAATGCTGCTACCAAGAAGTTGTGCTTTTCTCTGTTCTTTTGCTTCTAAAATCCCTTTTTAAGCTTTTGTCAATTTTTAATGGAAATCTGTGCCACACGTTGAGGGCACCATTTTGTAAGGATAAGTCTTTCCACCAACTGCCTGAGTTCCTCTGAAACTTTAGGACCCCCAAACAACATACAGAGTCTTATGTTAGTTACAATGCTTCTGGACAATGACTAGGATTTCTTCTATGATATCTCAGTCTTAATTATCAACCATAAACTACTAATCTATATATTTTATAAGGACTTATCTTATCGAGGATGCCAGCCTTATGCGTCCTCTCTTCCTGGTGATCACATGGCAACTCCTCTCTCTACTGCATTACCCAGAATCCTCCTCAACTCTTGGCCCCACTTATTTTGCTTCCCTATTGGCTAAACAGTGCTTTATTTATCAACCAATAAGACAAACATATACACAGAAGGACTTCCCCCATCACCCACCCATCTCTTGCTGTCCATTTTTACCCCAACTTTGGCTACCCAGCCCAGCCAGGGCTCAGTCTTTCTAACTGACCTCATAGTCATGTAATACAGCCATGATGAGTCTACCACAGGAGACATTAGTCCTCATACCTAAATGAGACACATAGCTAACACAAAACATGTGAGCCAGTTCCCCTGGAGAGCATGCAGGTGGCATCTCAAAGACAAATATCAGCAAATGTATCTCCCTGCTTCCAGTTCAGAAATCAAAGCTAGAAAGAAAAGGATTTCTACTTTGCACCCCCCCTCATTGTTATCTACATTGACAGATAACCTGTCCCTTTTTCTAAGCCCTTCATTTTTAGTGGCTTTCAAACTCTTACAGGTCACTTTAAAAGGGTAAGGATTTAAAGTTGATATTTTTCCCTCAAACCCAAGGTAACCTATTAGAAAACACAATTTAAAACTACCTGTCCCAAGCTGGACTTCAAATTCTATGCACTGATATATTTTACTTTCATTACAGAAAAGGATGGGAATAAGGAAACTTGGGCTCTTCCTTCCCTCCCTAAGTGTCATGCTGTGTCTTCCCTCCCAGACTCACAGGGGTGTGGCTACTTGGAAGCTTTACTCGAGGACACTGTTGAGCCCTTCGACCCTGCCTGACCCACCCTGTCCCCTCCTCTAAGCACAGCCCCCCACCTCTCCAGTTCAGTCCATCCCCGATTTAACATGATTGCTAGTCAGCTTCCCCAAGGCTGCCTTCGACTCCCTTCAAACCCAGTGTTTGCACATCAGTGTGGTTTCTGCACAGCCAGAGAGTAGATGGGGAGCTAATTGGAGAAGTTCTGTCCTAAGCAACTAAAAGGTTTGCTTTAAAAATACATCCAATTAGCACTTATCGTTATCACTCCCTGTGTAGCAGCATCAGATAACATAGAAGCACATTAGCCTGGAACTGGCTGCTTCCCAGAGGCCCAGCTGGGAGAGCTGGACCCAGAAGAGAAGCTGAACAAAGCAGAAAAGATGCCCTGACACATTTAAAAATTAACACCCATCTCTATAGGGGTGCCTTTCTTAGGAGTAAGGCAGTCAGGGGAAGATGTCTGGAATGATGGGAAATCCTATGATGGTTATTTCCAAGCAGACATTCCAACCAGATCTGAAGGAGGTCTGACCATGTGGCTGTGACGATGTAAATTATTGATGAGCAGGTGTGGTGTGACTGTGGGTTTTCCTGTTTGCTGGTTTATTTGTTTAAAATAGCCATCCTGTTAGGAAACAATGCTAATTGGATTGGCGGGAACTTTTTGGTTAGAAGTATGAGAAGTTTGTCATGGTGATCAATGTTTACGTTCTGTCTATTTGTGTTTTCTCCAAAATATATATAAATTATATGCCACGTGTCACACGTCAAGCACATTAGTCAACTTCCTATTCTGCAGACCAGAGACCCAATGTCAAACCTCCCCAGGGTGTCTGTATTGTGACAGCTGAGCACTGAAGCCATGTCCACACAGCGCAAAGTGAAGTGATGGTGTGGCAGTTACCAAGGTAATTTGATAAGCCATACAAGAAAGTTCTATGCCTGGCATAACTTTGGGGTCACATGTTCTAGCTACAGGCATCTAGTTAAGCTTTCCATGTGAAACAAAATTCCAATGCCGAGAGTCCTGAAGCAGCCATCTATACAAACTACAACTGCATAGTGCATTAGTAATTTGGGCCAGGCTTGCTGTGCTTTGAGTTTTGGCTGTTTTCACTCAAGCCAT